CCTACAAATTATTGGACGTTTTAATCCCAACCAATTTAACAGGTCAACAGGAATCTATAAAAACTATCGTTATTGTGATTGAATTGTCCTCAGACTGTCAACCATGTTGTTTACGTTTTCATATGATTAATTCACACTAGGAAGAATTTTGACAGCACAATTGTTGATCAGCTAATCTTCATTAGAAAGAACTCTAGTAGTTCATAAGTATGCTTAGAGCTAATGCGAAGTTTGTGACTTCACGCAGGGATTCATTCGGACTTATACGGCTTGCAAGAACTCTAGAAATCTTGACGGAACTCTATGAACGATTGTATCAAAAGCAACTAGGTGAACGAGAGCAAAAAGGAACCACTGGAACAAAAGGAAAATGATGAACGAATGAACTAGATCTAGTACCGATCGTTCCTTTTGCGGAATAGTTCTTTTGAACTAGGTCTTTCGGGAAAGACCCAAAACTGGATAAAATTATAGAAGATCATTAGAACTACAAGAATTTATGAAAACTCTGTGAATTCATAGCAAATCCGGAAGTCCATAAGAACTTTAAAAGATCATGAGAACTCATGGGGTTCATAGGCATTTTAGGAGTTCAATAATATATAGTAGCTCATAAGAAAACTCTGGGTTTTATTGAAACTTTCGATGTTCATAATCACTCAAAGACATTTTAGGAACTTCTGAGAACTTGTAATTACTCTGATAGTTTTATCGTAGTCTCTAAAAACTCTGGGAAATATAAAGATTTCAGGAATTTCGAAGAACTATGGGAATTCATAGAAGAATTCTGGTAGTCCTTAATAACTCTGGAATTTCCCATAAACTTTAGGAGTTCCAAAGAATTCATGGAGTTCCTAAGAACATTGAGAGTCTATAAGAACTCTGGGAGTTCAAAAAAACGCTAGGGGTTGCTAAGAACTCTGGGAGCTCCTACGAACTCTGTGAATGCATAGGGAATCCGAATGTTCAGAGGAGTTCAAAGGAACTAGTTCCATATACTTCATGTATTTTGAATTATTGCTTTCACTTCAAAGTGATTGTCTACCGTATTACAACATTTATATCTCAAAAATTCAAAAATCCACACATTAGTTTTCAATTCTATATATTTTCAATATTCACACTTCCGTCCTACATTCCAAATTTCAAGCATATTCCGCAACATTTTCCAAAATCCAATTCCGCAAATAAGCCACATTCGCGTAAACTCCTGGAAATTCAGGCATAGCACAACCACTACCCCACGATACAATATCCCCAGCTTGCCATTTACCACAAGGGGTCCACCCGAATCACCCTGGCAGGCATCCTTACCGCCAACACCATCAAATCTAGCACAGAGCATAGCATCAGTAATACGCCCTTCACCATAATACGGAGCATAGGCTTCTTCACAACGTTCGCTGCTTACAATGGGCACATCGACAGCCATCAGTTGATCAGAAGGGAAACCAGCAAATTCAGTGGTACCTCAGCCGCTAACAGTTGCTTTAGATCCAGGCACTGGGATGCTATCGGTCAATTCAATTGCTCTCATGGTGATACCATTCAATGGCAATGGAGTGGCCAAAATCAGCAAGGCTACATCATTATCGGTTATGAAAATGTTATATTCCTCATGTCGCACAATCTTTGAGATACGGGCTACAACACCATCGACACCATTGCGGGTATTTGTACCAGCAACGACGAGAAATTCTTCAGCCGACCATCCAATAACACAGTGGGCTGCGGTGACAATAACATTTTCACGATAAATACTGCCACCGCAGACATGGGAGAAGATGCAGGATGGACAATTTTTACGTCTCAGCGAAATTTTGTGGGGATGTTTGTTAAAATCGACAGGATCACCGCCAACAATGCGTCCAATTTCTTTGATATCAGGAGAGATTCCTTCGTGCTGGATAGGTTGCCCCGAAGTTAGGTTGGTGTAGATAACCAAAGTCAAAATTAATATATATATATACATCCACGTAACGCAACAACATGCTGTTCGTTCGCTTAGCTTTGTGTATAGACTAAATTCCATTCCGAATTGATATCACTGATCTTGAAGAAGCATGTTTGTGATTTACACACCCCCATAATCATATCGTTTTTAATTGAATAATATACGAAATGGAAAGTTTGGATGTTCGAACAGAAGTGGATGACTGATAGCCGCTGTGTGACGTAATTTTTTTAGAAGACTTTTTCAATGTTCTGGTATTTAGTAGCTGAAGAGCAGGGTTAGGAAATCGAAGTTTTTAGAAAATTCAGGAGTTCCACTTGACATTCCTATGAACTCGCAAGAACTCTAGAAGTTCCTAAGAATCCTGAGGGTTCATAGGACGTAAACTTCCTTTTATAGGAATTCCTAAGAACTTTGGGCCTTCCTAAGAACTTTGGGAGTTCCTAGGAATTTTTGGTGTTCCTATGAAACGTGGCAGAACTTTGGTTGTTCAAAAAAACTCAGGCTGAACATTGGGTGTTCCTAAGAACTCTGGGATTTCCTAAGAACTCTGTGATTTCCTACAAATCCTGGGAATCCCTAAGAAGTCTGGGAGTTTCTGAGGACTCTAGAAGTTCTTTAGAAGTCTGAGAGTTTCATAGAATACTGAAAGTTCCTAAAAACTCTGGGACTTCCTTAGAAATCTAGGAGTTCCTAAGAACTCAGAGAGTTGTTGAGAAGTTGGGAGTTAAGAATGCTGGGAGTTCCTAAGAAGTCTGGTAGTTGTTTAGAACGCTGAGAGTTCCTTAGAACTCTGGGAGTTCCTAAGAAGTCTAAGAGTTCCTAAGAAGTCTAAGAGTTCGTAAGAACTCTGGGAGTTTTTGAGAACGATGAGAGTGAGTTCCTAAGAACTCTGGGAGAGTTCATAAGAACGTTGGGTGTTCCTAAGAAGTCTGAGAATTCCTATGATGTCTGCGAGTTTCTTAGCACTGTGGGAGTTCCTAAGAAGTCTACGACTGAGGGAGTTCCTAAGAACTTTGAGGGAGTTCAAAAGAACGCTGAGTTTTCCTAAAATGTTTAGGGGATCGCAAGAACTCGGAGAGTTCATAAGAACTCTGGGTGTTTGCTAAGATCGCTGGGAATTCCTAATTCCTGGGAGAATTCATAAGGACGCTGGGAATTCCTAAGAACTCTGGGAGTTTCTGAGAGTTGCTAAGGACTCCGGGAGTTCCTAAGAATTCTAGAAAATCCTAATTACTCGCTGGGAATTCCTAAGAAGTTTGGGTGCTGCTTAAAACGCTGAGGGTTCCTAAGAACTCTGGGAGTTGCTAATAACTCTAGGTGCTCCTACGAGGACGCAGGGTATTCCTAAGAACTCTTGGAGTTTCTGAGAGTTGCTAAGGACTCCGGGAGTTCCTAAGAATTCTAGAAAATCCTAATAACTCGCTCGGAATTCCTAAGAAGTTTGGGTGTTGCTTAAAACGCTGAGGGTTCCTAAGAAGTCTGGGAGTTCCTAAGTACTATAGGAGAGAGTTCTTAAGACGTCTGGGAGTTCATTGGAAGTCTGGGAGTTCCTAATAACTCTAGGTGCTCCTACGAACGCTGGGAGTTCCTAAGAACTATAGGAGAGAGTTCTTAAGACGTCTGGGAGTTCATTAGAAGTCTGGGAGTTCCTAAGAACCCTTGTAGTTCATAATGACACTAGGAACTCCTAAGAACTCTGGAAGTTCCTTAAGAACTTTGGGAGTTTCTAAGAACTCTGGGAGTTTCTAAGAACTTTGGGTGTTCCTAAGATGTTGGCAGTTTTTAGAACTCTGGCAGAACTTTAAGAGTTCCTAAGAACCCTTGGGGTTCCCAAGAATCTTTGGAGTTCCTAAGAACTCTAGAAGTTGCCTACGAACTTTAGGTGTTTCTAAAAACTTTGAGTTCCTAATAACTTTGGGAGTTCCTAAGAACTTTGGGTGTTCCTAAGAACTCTGGCAGAACTTTGGAACATCCTAAGAACCATTGGAGTTCCCAAGAAACTTTGGAGTACCTCAGAATTCTGGGAGTTTCTTAAGAATTTTGAGAGTTCCTAAGAACTTTGGGGTTTCCTAAGAACTCTGGCAGTTCCTAAGAACTTTGGAAGTTCCTAACCACTCTGTGTGTTTCTTAAGAACTTTTCAGAGAATTTTGGGATTTACAAAGAATATCTGGATGTCTGTAAGAATTCCTTCGAAGTATCTAAAAATTGGTCTAAGAATCGAGGTTTTATTGTAGAACTTCAAGGCTAGCATTGCTTCTGCTAGCATGTAAATTTCCCATTGACTTTTTTTCTCTCAGCGCATTCGAACCCATACAATCTACGCTTGCCCAATAAATTTATAATAACCAGTTAATTTTCTTAACAACTGATATTAAAACGTCTATCAGCGGTAGCTTATCATTTATGGCAATACACTCTGAGTTGTTGATAAAAGAAAAGAAAACAAAAACGATAGAGGAACCAATATCCGCACTACGCCTGCTAATACTTTAATAAGAGATTAAAAATGTCACCCAAAAAATATGTTAAGAATTTCTTAAAATGTTTTTTTCTGTTCTGCAATATTTTCCAAAATCCACTTCCTCCAGTACGACACATTGGTGTAGACATCAGGATATGCAGATCGAGCACAACCGGGAGTCCCAAAGAAATCTTGAAGTTTTCAAAGAACGTCAGGGTTTCTAAGAACTCCGCGAGCTCCGGATGAGAAGAATATCAGAACTGGAATTCAGTCTTATTGCAGATTTCCTTTACCGTTTGTAAATCACAGTTAATTTTCCTGACACCTGAATTAAATCCTTACGATTTATGAACCTCGATAAATGTCTTTAAAACCTGCCAAAATATTTAACAACTCAATAAATATGACAACCATTCTGTTGACTTATCAATTGTGACAATATTACTGAAAAATAACTGATAAAATATAATAATTCGGAGAATAGCACCCGCCCTGCAAAATTCGTTTATTGTATTTTATTTTTAAAATCTTTCCTCTTGCGAAGAAATTTTCTTTATTTAAAAAAAATCGAAGAATTGTGTTTAAAGATTAGCAGCCACGTTATCCAAAATCCATTGTCTCAAATATGTCACACTGGCGTAGACACCGGGATAATCGGCCAAAGCACAACCACGACCCCACGATACAATACCAGTCAGCTTGCCATCGACCAAGAGGGGACCACCGGAATCGCCTTGACAGGCATCCTTACCACCAATACCCTCAACACCAGCACACAACATGCTGTCGGTAATACGTCCCGGACCATAGGCAGCATCACAACGATCATTGCTTACAATGGGAACATCGACAGCCAACAATTGATCCGAAGAGAAGCCACCCGACGAGGTGGTACCCCAACCTGATATGGTTGCCTTTGCACCTTGTGGTGGAGTTTCACTGGACAATTCAATGGGAGCCATGGTAACACCATCCAATGGCAAGGGGGTGGACAAGAACATCAAGGCCACGTCGTTGTCGGTAATCGATGAATTATATTTCTCGTGCATTACAATGTTCGAGACACGAGCCACAAACCCATCGACACCATTACGTCTACTGGTACCACCAACGACGATGAAGTTCTCAGCCAAACGTCCGTTGACACAATGAGCAGCTGTCACAATGACACTAGGATTGTAGATGCTGCCGCCACAGGTATGGGAATAGGTGCAGGACTCGCAGCCTTTACGTCTCAACGACACCTGATGAGGATGTCTGGTAATGTCCACAGCATAGCCGCCAACAATGCGTCCATTTGGATCGCGTACCTCGCCATCATCCTTAAGTGGTTGGCCAGCCACAAGAGTGGCACAGATTGCCAAAGACACGCACAAGAGAATCTTAAAACCCGACATGCTGTTCGCCCAATTAGCTACACAGCCAAACTAAATTCGATGGGATTTGAAAACAATGATTTTATAGTGGTCAACTGATTTATGCGCTGATAATCATATCTAGGCTAATCAAATAAAAAAGGCAAGATAATGGAATCGGTGACGATAGACGGCAAGCTTCTGATAGAAGATTTGTTTTCTATTATCTCTGAATGTTATTTATAATTGGTCAAGGTATGGTTGCAAATAATCGACAAAAGGTGGCACTTGAAGATGAGGAGTTGGGTCTCAACGACTTCTGAAGGAGCGCTAACAACAAAATTAGGGATTCTGATATTGGCGTAGAGTTTTAAAATATATATATTTTTTTCAAGATCCCTAATAGGTGTGTATTTTTAAAATAATTTTTTTCAAGATTCCAAGATTTTTTTTCAAGGCCCAATATAGGCGTGGATTTTGAAAATAATTTTTTCCAAGTTTCTTTTTCAAGGCCCAATATAGGCGTGGTTTTTGAAAATAATTTTTTTCAAGATTCCAAGTTTCTTTTTCAAGGCCCAATATAGGCGTGGATTTTGAAAGTATTTTTGTCCAAGATTCCAAGATTTTTTTCAAGGCCCAATATAGGCGTGGATCTTTAAAATAATTTTTTCCAAGATTCCAAGTTTCTTTTTCAAGGCCCAATATAGGCGTGGATCTTTAAAATATTTTTTTTCCAATATTCCAAGTTTCTTTTTCAAGGCCTAATATAGGCGTGGATTTTGAAAATAATTTTTTCCAAGATTCCAAGTTTCTTTTTCAAGGCCCAATATTCTTTAAAATATTTTTTCAAGGCCCAATATAGACGTAGATTTAAAAACAAAAAATATAGATTTATTGAAATGCCTCTTCCAAAAATGTTGACTGGGAATCTATGAAAAGTACTCCGCCCAAAACTATGCTACAATTAATTTCCAAAATATACTTTACTTTATTAAAAAAATTCAAAATTTACACATTAGCAGCAGCAGTATCCAATATCCATTGCCTTACATGCGGCACATTGGCATAGACCCCAGGAAAAGCTGGCCTAGCACAACCATAACCCCACGATACAATACCAGTCAATTTACCATTTACCACCAGTGGACCGCCCGAGTAACCCTGACAGGCATCTTTACCACCCACACCCTCAAGACCAGCACACAGCATAGCATCGGAAATCCGGCCCGGACCATAGGCAGAGTCACAACGTTCATTACTGACAATCGGTACATCTACAGCCAACATCTGAATAGGTTTATCGCCACCGGGTGATGTGGTACCCCAACCAGATATTGTTGCCTTCGCACCATGTGGAGGAATTTCACTGGCCAGCTCAATGGGAGACATGGTAATAGCATTCAAAGGCAATGGAGTAGCCAAAATCAGTAACGCAACATCATAATCAGTTATGGTCAGATTATATTTATCGTGCATAATAATTTCCGAGATTCGCGCAACAACACCAATTACCCCATTTCGGACCACGGTACCAGCAACCACGATAAAATCTTCCTTCTTCCGGCCATTGACACAGTGGGCCGCTGTCACGATCACCCATTCATTGTAAATACTTCCGCCACAGTGATGGGTATAGCTGCAGGCTTCGCAACCCTTACGCCTCATTGCAACCTGATGGGGATGCCGGGTAATATCAACCTCATAGCCACCAACAATACGTCCATCTTTCCTAGCATCGGGTGTGATGTCATCATCGTTGATCGGTTGTCCCGCTACGATGATGGCAAAGATTGTAAGTAGTAAAATATTGACACGCGCTAAATTCGCCATACTGTTCGTTTTGCTAGCAGCAGCACAGCCAAACTAAAATCCATTAATTCCGATAGCGGTAATTTTCCTTGCGGCATTCCGATTTACGAACTTCTAATCATATCGAGGCTAATCGAGTAGTGGACGATAAGCTAAGACAATACAAGAAAGCTTTTGATAGGGGGAAAAGCTTTTGAATACCTCGAATATTTGTAAACAACCTTAAAGAGTTTCAAAAAGCGACAGATGTCACTGCGGACAGGAACTTTTTCCGGTTTCCATAAGAAATTTTCAATTCACCCTGGCTGAATTAAGGTTTCCATAGGAAATCTTCAATTCAGCCTGGCTGAATTAAGGTTTCCACCTGGCTGAATTAATAGGAAATCTTCAATTCCACCTGGCTGAATTAAGGTTTCCATAGGAAATCTTCAATTCCACCTGGCTGAATTAAGGTTTCCATAGGAAATCTTCAATTCCACCTGGCTGAATTAAGGTTTCCATAGGAAATCTTCAATTCAGCCTGGCTGAATTAAGGTTTCCATAGGAAATCTTCAATTCAGCCTGGCTGAATTAAGGTTTCCATAGGAAATCTTCAATTCAGCCTGGCTGAATTAAGGTTTCCATAGGAAATCTTCAATTCAGCCTGGCTGAATTAAGGTTTCCATAGGAAATCTTCAATTCAGCCTGGCTGAATTAAGGTTTCCATAGGAAATCTTCAATTCAGCCTGGCTGAATTAAGGTTTCCATAGGAAATCTTCAATTCAGCCTGGCTGAATTAAGGTTTCCATAGGAAATCTTCAATTCAGCCTGGCTGACTTAAGGTTTCCATAGGAAATCCTGCAATTCAGCCTGGCTGAATTAAGGTTTCCATAGGAAATCTTCAATTCACCCTGGCTGAATTAAGGTTTCCATTGGAAATCTTCAATTCAGCCTCGCTGAATTAAGGTTTCCATAGGAAATCTTCAATTCAGCCTCGCTTAATTAAGGTTTCCATGGGAAATCTTCAATTCAGCCTCGCTGAATTAAGGTTTCCATAGGAAATCTTCAATTCAGCCTCGCTGAAATAAGGTTTCCATTGGAAATCTTCAATTCAGCCTTGCTGAATTAAGTTTTCCATTGGAAATCTTCAATTCAGCCTGGCTGAATTAAGGTTTCCATAGGAAATCCTCAATTCAGCCTGGCTGAATTAAGTTTTCCATAGGAAATACTGCAATTCACCCTGGCTGAATTAAGGCTTCCATAGGAAAACTTCAATTCCGACCACCTGATTTAAGGTTTCAATAAAAATTCCGCCATTAAAAACTCGCCAATAAATAATTTCTGCTTATTTTATTTTTAAATTTTAAGCATTAGCTGCCACATTTTCCAATATCCATTCTCTCAAATATGGTACACTGGAATAGACACCAGGATAGTCAGACCTTGCACAACCAAGACCCCAGGAAACCACACCAGTCAATTTGCCCTTGACCACAAGTGGACCGCCAGAATCACCTTGGCAGGCATCTTTTCCACCAACACCATCCAAACCGGCACACAACATACTATCCCGAATACGTCCTGGACCATAGTAGACTGTATAGCGAGCTTCACATACTTCATTGCTTACAAGGGGTACCTCAACAGCCAATAGTTGATCGGAAGCGACACCACCTGATGCAGTTGTGCCCCAACCAGTAATGACAGTTTTTGCGCCCGTTGGTGGCAACTCCGTGGCCAATTCAATGGGTGAGATGGTTATGCCATTCAATGGCAAGGGTGTGGCCAAAATCAGCAAAGCCACATCGTTATCATAAAATTCATGGATATAATTCTCATGCATTACGATTTTCGATACCCGAACTACAACACCATCGACACCATTACGTCTGCTGGTACCAGCAACAACAATAAATTGTTCCGCCAAACGGTTGCGGACACAGTGGGCTGCTGTCACAATGACACTCTCACTGTAAATACTTCCGCCACAGGTATGCGAATAGGCACATTCGTCGCATCCCTTACGTCTCAGCGATATCTGATGAGGGTGCCGGGTAATATCCACAGCATAGCCACCAACAATGCGACCATCGAGTCTCAAGGATGGTTCAATTTCTTCTTCCTCCTGAAGAGGTTTACCAGCTACCAAGGCGATACAGAGGGCTATTGCCAAAAAGAGAAATTTTAGGTCGGCCATTTGGGATATGTTGCGTTTGGAGTCCGAAACTAAACTAAATCTCCTTGAAGTCAATATCGATTATTTTATAGTTACTTTTTTTTGTGATTTCCCAAAAGATAATCATAATCGGAGGTAGTAAATCTTAAAACCGCTTATCAGTTAGGTGGCTTTGGTTTCCATATTTGCGGGGGAAACCAAACATATCGCTGGGATTTTTTAAATATTTTATTTTTATCAATGTCGAGGTTTTTTTAATCACATCCGAAGTCATAGACTTCGTGGTTCCTAATATATGGGGGGTTTGTATAAACGTAATGGTGTTTAAAAGCTGCTAGTATTCATTAACACTTTGTTGCCTCGAGGGTCAGAATGTTTTATTGAAAACCTACCTTAACAATTGACTTTATCAACCTTTGATAAAATTATCCTTGACTTCTGATACTTCGAATACATCGGATAAACTCCAAGAATACTCCAATATTTTGGATTTTTTTTTTTAATTTCTTCACAAATTTTAAAGGAGTAGTAAGCTCTCTACATACCATTTGGACTCCCAGACGGTTCGAGAACGTTAACCTAGCAATTCTGAGGCGCCCAAATTGTCGAACACACTTCACACACTCCAAAACTTCTGACAATCTTCTACGAGTCTCCTTACAAAAATTCGCATACTATGAATGCACCTCTAATGGTGCCCAAACCTCTTAATTTTTTTATAAAATCTAATACTTTCTATCTACCATCAGGACGCCCAGACTTTTTAAGAATGGCGCCCAAACTGTCGACAAACGCTGTTAACTTCCCTAGGATATCGTATCTATAGACCTTGTTATGAGGTTCACAACCTCTTATGAACTTCACGATCGCTTAAAAACGCTTGCAAGGCCTATTAATAATGTTACGCCGTATGATCAGCTGTTTCTCAAATGTGTTGTCAAATTATTGTGAATTCAAATGGATATTATTGTGAATGAAATAAAAAAGTGAATAAAATAAAATAGGTCAAAGCGAAATATGTGTTCCTAAGTCTGGTCCACATTTTTGAAAATAAATTTTAGAAAATTAGCTGTCTTCGCCTCCTGGTTGACTTTGTTAAAAGGCCATGACATTTCGGAAAGTAGGAATACGTAGGTCGATTTTCGACTTTTATATTTAAATGTCGATTTTTTGATTGTGAACAAATCGAGAAGTTCTTGATCGTATATCGAAATAAAATACAAAAATTTCATAGGAATTTCAAGAGTTTTCCATCACTTCGCGAATTCTTGGGAGCACTGAGACCAGTTAAGTATAAATCCAAAGCTTCTAAGGAATAATAAATATGATTCCGGATATTAAAAAACATTATTTTTTTCACCGCTCGAATCTAGAACACTGTGCACACCGCACATTCCATTTAATATCCACTTCAGAGACTTAAGAAAAATGTTAGGAATCTAGAAACAGTAATCAAGAGACTTATATCTTGTAAAAATATCCACAACAACAGACAACCCATAATTCCCGCAAAAAATTCTAAGATAAGAAATTATTTTTATCGTTGATAGGGGGTTTTCAGGGTATAAAACGATATTTCATTGCACTGCAAAATCATTAGTTTCGATTTGCCTTTGACCAAATAACTACTAACCATGATACGATCGCTAACCATATTCGCCTTGGTGGTAAGCTGTGCCTTTGCCGGTTTCTTGCCCGATGATTTGGATGGTCGTATTGTCAATGGTGTTGACACCACCATTGAACAGCACCCCTATCAGGTGTCGTTGCAAACGAACAGCGGCAGCCATTTCTGTGGTGGTTCCATTATCGCCGAAGATGTTGTGGTGACAGCTGCCCATTGCATGCAAAGTTATAGTGCCAGCCAGTTCAAGGTGCGTCTTGGTTCCACAACCTATAACAAAGGCGGGGATTTGGTTGCTGTAAAATCTTTTAAATACCATGAAGGTTACAATCCCAAAACTATGGTCAATGATATTGCTGTCATTAAATTGGCTACTCCGGTTCGTGAATCGTCCCGCGTCCGTTATCTGCAATTGGCTGAAAAGACTCCGGCCACCGGAACTCCGGCTGTGGTGACTGGTTGGGGCACAAAATGCTTCTTGACCTGCTCAACTTTGCCAACAACCTTGCAGGAGGTTGAAGTTGATATTGTCGATGAAAAGGCTTGTGCTTCGTCGGAATTTAAATATGGCTCCCAGATCAAGGAAACTATGGTGTGCGCCTATGCCGTTAAGAAGGATGCTTGCCAGGGAGATTCTGGTGGTCCATTGGTGTCGGGCGGTAAATTGGTTGGTGTTGTCTCTTGGGGTATTGGCTGCGGCAAGGAAGGGTATCCTGGTGTCTACGCTGATGTACCTTCACTACGCAGCTGGGTTGAAAAAACCGCTAAGGCTTTGTAAGTGATGTGAAGTAATAAATAAAAATCGAGTTGATTTAAATAAATTTTGTGCAGAAATAATTGAGATTTGTTTTATTTCGGAGTGCTAAAGGTATGTAAAACTGATGAATACATTTCTATACTTCACGACATTTTTACAGGGTAAGATGGTTAACTATTAAAAATTAAACACCAAGACCAACAGGAAGGGAAATCCATTTATGAAAACCGCCTTCTTAGGAATTCGAAATTTTCAGAAGTCCAGCTATTCATTAAAAGGCCTTTAAATAAGGACACTCAGCAGACATCAGGACAACTGTTTCAATTTAATTCACAATAATGTACTTTGACAGAAAACAGCTGATTTATTTAAAAAAGGGATATCATTGGGAAATATTGGATTATCAGCTGGTCTTCCTGGTTGACACTACAATAGTTAGTCCATAAATATTACAAACAAAATATTTAATTTCATTCAAAATAGTGTTTGTTATTTTTCATTTATAGATCCCTAACGAGGAGGTATATGTAAACTCGGTTTATTGGTAATACCGTATATAAAATGGCATAACATTTTTCATTTGTAAAAGAAAAAAATCCAAAAATCCCCCCGAGACATATTGTGATTACACAAAAATAAAACTATAATTGTGATTACCAAAAAAAACAACACTGATACTGTTCACATTGTTATTTACATTTGTCAGCTACTTGAATAATCAGCTGATCCTACTGATCAGCTGTTGTTTAGGTTTTTATATGTTTTATTTGAAAAAAGAAATAATTTGGAAAGATTGGAGTATCATCTCTCATCTCTCTCTCATCATGCTCTTTTCTACTATAATAGTTAGCCCATAAATATTACAAAAATAAATATTTAATTTCATTCAAAATAGTGTTTATTATTTCTCATTTACCTAACAAAGGGGTATGTGTAAACTCGGCCTAATGTAAATACCATATTTAAAATGGCATAACATTGTTAATTTATAAAATTAAAAATATTTATATATTTAAAATAATTTTTATTAATTTATATATTAAAAATATCTTCATAGAGAAGCTTAACCCACCAAAAAAAGATCTAATATACATTTATATATATTATTTATATATTCTATTTACAATTCATTGACGGTCTGAAGAACCCAGCTGCGTAGCGATGGTACATCAGCATAGACACCAGGATAACGTGGTAAAGCACAACCCGTACCCCAGGATACAGCACCAACCAATTTACCATCCGCTACCAATGGACCACCGGAATCACCTTGGCAGGAATCCTTGTAGGGGGCATAGGCACAAACCATTGTGTCCTTGATTTGAGAACCATAGTTGTAGTCGTTGGATTCACAACTATCCCGATCGACAATATTAACTTCAACCTCTTGCAAAGTCTTGGGCGTGGTAAGACAGAGCAAGTAGCACTTGGTGCCCCAGCCAGTTACAATGGCGGGCGTGCCCGTTGGTGGAGTCGTTTCAGCCAAGACAGCATAACGGATCTGGGCGGATTCCTGGACGGTAGTGTTCAATTTGATGACTGCCACATCATTAACCATAGTGTCGGGATCGAAGTTTTCGTGGACTTTGAATGTGTTGACTTCAAGCAATACACCACCAGTGCTGTAGTCAGTGGAGCCCAAACGTACCCTAACTTGGGAAGCCGTTTCGGATTGCATGCAGTGAGCAGCGGTAAGGACATAAGCATCGGCGATAATTGAACCGCCACAGAAATGATTTCCGGAGGGGTCTTGCAGCGATACCTGATAGGGATGCTTTTCAATGGTGGTATCGACACCCCCCACAATACGGCCATCAAAATCATCGTGTAAGCTAGCGGCAATGGCACAGCTAAACAATGCGAATACTGTAACGTAACGAAACATTTTGAAAGACTGAATGGTGATTTTACTGCACCAGTTGGGTTTTATACGAAATTGGTCAGAATTGAATTTGCCAATTGCCATTTATCATATATTTTATTTTGCTACTGAATTTTCTATATTCCGTCTTAATTTTATTAGATAAGATTATCCGTGACATTTGTTGAACTGGGGGTGAAAAAATTCAACACGTGTATTTGGAAAAAAAAGCTGAATTATTTTTTTTTTCAAAATTACAATTTTCTGATAAATGTATTTTGTTTTTTTTACAGTCGCAAATTTACGACGCAGGCAGAAATGAAAAAAAAGAAAACAAAAACAAAGAAGTTTTGACCTGAAGGTAAGGAAGGGTTTTTTTTTCTTTATAAACGAAAACAAACTTTGTATATAATATAAATGTAGAATTTTTACGAAGAGTAGAAAAAGGGTTATGAAAAGTTGTTTTTTTTTTCTTAAATGCAGGGCAGCTGGTCTCTATTGTGATTTAACATTACGACATAGTTTTTGACACCAAATCGTTTACACAGGAATGCCAGCTGTTGCTCATGTTTGCTGTCAAAATGTATTATTTTGAATTGAATTATTATTGTGAATTTAATACTTAGAGTGTATTTCGCCCCAGACAATGCCAAAAATAAGCATATACCAAAAAAATGGGTTTCTATCATAATTCACTGATTAGAAAAATCAGCTGAAGAAAAACAATTAATTTCCTTTGAAATTTTGAAATTTTTAAAATTTGAAATACCATTCAGATTGAATTACCCATATCCTATGAAAAGTATTGTGCGCGGTTGTATTGCTTTCTTGACATAATAATTTGGTTAGAACCTTACAAATAAATTTTCGTTATTGCATTCACAATAGTATTTGTTCTCTCTAGTTTATAGATCCCTAACGAAAATCTATGTGCAAACACGGCTTATTACAAATACCACATGGTGTGTTCCCGTTAAAAACTTTTCAAACTTATATAAATCAAAGAAATCTCCAGAAATAATTAATTCTTGCAGAATTCAAATACAAGACACAAATCTAAATCCAATATACCAATCCCTCCCCTTACATTAAAAAAAATCCAACAAAAATTTACGTTTTTTAATTACCAAAATTCTCGTTTATTTTCACATATTTTCCACAATTTACAATTCCTTGGCGGTCTTAAGAACCCAGCTGCGTAGAGATGGTACATCAGCATAAACACCGGGATAGCCAGCCTTAGCACAACCCATACCCCAGGAAACAACACCAACCAATTTATCACCGGAAACCAATGGGCCACCAGAATCACCTTGGCAGGCATCCTTGTTGACAGCATAGGCACACACCATAGTTTCCTTGATTTGAGAGCCATATTTGTATTCACTGGAAGCGCAGGCCTTCTCATCGACAATATCAACTTCAACCTCTTGCAAAGTCTTGGGCAAGCTGACACAGGTCAAGTAGCACTTGGTGCCCCAGCCAGTAACAACGGCGGGAGTGCCAGTGGCAGGAGTCTTCTCGGCCAAGGCAACATAACGGATCTTGTTGGATTCACGGACGGGAGTGGCCAATTTGATGACAGCAATATCGTTAACCATGGTCTTGGAATTGTAACCTTCGTGGTATTTGAATGACTTGACGGCAACCAATTCACCACCAGTGTTATATTCCGTGGAACCCAAACGTACTCTCATTTGGGAGGCGGTATAGGATTGCATGCAGTGAGCAGCGGTAACGACGATATCTTCGCTGATGATGGAACCACCACAGAAATGGCTGCCGCTGGTGGTTTGGAGCGACACCTGGTAGGGGTGCTTTTCAATGGTGGTATCGACACCATTCACAATACGGCCATCCAAATCATCGGGCAAAGTGCCGGCAAAGGCAGCGCTTACGCACAATGCGAAAATGGTAACGAAACGGAACATCTTGAAAGACTGACTGGTGATTTCCCTACACCAGGTGGCTTTTTATAGTAATTTGTTCTTTGGCCAATAAGTTTAATTTGCCAAATATAGTTATCAATAGTATTGATATATTTATATAATTGTCTTGCTTAGTTGGCAGACGGTTGGTATTTTCTATTTTAAAGATAAGATTATCCATGACGGTTGTCAAAATTAAAATGTATTGTTTTTGCAAAATAAATATTTTTTCCGAAATCACACCTTTTCTGATAAGTAGAATTTGTTTTGATTAATTGTGGCATTTATCAAGCCGCACGCTTTTGGAGAACCACCGGACAGATATTAAAAAAATACAAAGAAGAAATTATTACCTTAAGATAAAGGTGAAAATTCTTTCGATACAACCGAACTTCAATTCGATGTATTTTGTTATCTCGGAGAAGGGGTCAGATGTTCTTCTTAAATGACCCTTTACCCCTTAGTTGTTTGTTATCAAGTCCTACTTATCAGCTGTTTCTTATGAATGCTGTCAAAAATATTATTGTGAATTAAATTATTAATACTTCTAAAAATAAACAAGCAAGATAGTCATCAGGAAAATAATTATCTTTGTCCAAATATATATTTAAAACTATGTATGTTCTAATTTATATTTATCAAAATATTAAAAGATGGTTAAATTTTTAAAGAATACCGAGTTTACACAAACCTTTGTATTAGGGATCTATAGATGCAACACAATAAAATTTTTTGTGAATGAAATCAAATATTTTTTAATTATGAAATAAAATATTTTTAATTATTAAATCAAATATTTTTAAAGAATTAAAATCTTTTCGAGTTCTAAAATTCCGTCCCTAGTATTAAATACTTTCAAAAATGTTACTTGAACCATAGAGCTATAGAACTGGTTTATATTTAAGAAAATATAAAATTAATGTTTAATTCTTAAACAAAGTCGAGTTTACACACAGCATCTTATTAGGGATCTATAGATGAGAAACCATTATAACTATTGTGAATGAAGTCATATATTTTTTAATAATTTTCCATTACATTTTATAGTTCTTTTCATTGAAAAAAACGATGGCTTAAGAGTGGCCAAATCTTCATAAATATTAAAAAAAATAAATATAATAAAACAGTATACCTTAAACCTCTCCTCCTCATGATATTACACTCGAAAAATTCCATGACTACTTCCAATAAAAAAATTGTCATAACTGTTAATAAAACGTTTTATTTCACATACATTTTACAATTCCTTAGCTGTCTTCACCACCCATTCACGTAGACTGGGTACATCAGCATAAACACCGGGATAACCCTCCTTAGCGCAGCCACGACCCCATGAGACAACACCAACCAATTTACCACCCGATACCAACGGACCACCAGAATCACCCTGACAGGCATCCTTCTTAACATCATAGGCACAGACCATAGTTTCCTTGATTTGCGAACCATATTTATATTCACTGGACCCACAAGCCTTCTCATCGACAATATCAACCTCAACTTCTTGCAAAATCGTTGGTGCGGAAACACACCACATATAGCACTTTGTACCCCAGCCGGTAACGACAGCCCGTGTGCCGGTAGCTGGAGTTTTTTCCGCCAATGGTACATAACGGATCTTTGAAGATTCTCGAACGGGAGTGTCCAACTTCATGACAGCAATATCATTAACCTTGGTCTCGGAATTATAACCTTCATGATTGCGGAATGTTCTGACAGCAACCAATTCACCACCAGTGTTGTATTCCGTGGAACCCAAACGTACTCTGATCTGGGCGGCAGTATATTTTTGCAGGCAATGGGCAGCTGTTACGATAATATCTTCACTAATGATGGAACCACCACAGAAATGACCACCCGATGTGGTTTGCAGCGACACCTGATAGGGATGTTTTTCAATGGTCGTATCAACACCATTGACAATACGGCCATCGAAATCATCGGGCAGGGTACCGGCGAAGGCACAACTAACCAAGGCGAAAATTGTAATGTAACGGAACATCTTGCAAAAACTTGACTGATAGTTTCGACAATTTGGCAATGAGTTTATATAGTCGGATTTGGTTTACAATCGTATGCCTTGAGTTGGTATTTTCCCAACTGTTAAGCATGTTCTGGGAATTCTTTTTGTGATTTCTATTTTAGATTGGGTTTTCCAAAATTAGCTATTAATATTCTTTATTTTTTAAATAAATATTAAACCCTATCTGCTATGGATTTTCCCACACCTACTTAAAAAAATAGCTTATCGAACAAAATCAAACCTTGTGCTTTAGGTTATTCCATTGATAATGATTAACTTTTAGTTATTATCTATAAATTTCGAGTCATGACGTATTATCTTAATACAAAAGAGGTATAGATACTGATAATGATCCGTTTTCATCTCCGGTATGCTATTGATTACAGAAGGTTTATGTTGAGTAGCGTTAGTCGATTTCAACACTTTCTTCCGGCAGTGTAGGTAGCATAATTAGGATAACTTTTTTACTATAATATAGTGTTATAAACGACCCAGAGATTTTGAAGCGCCCCCGGATAATTACGTGTATGCAAGAAAAATTAGGGTTTCTTCGATACCCTTTCATTTAAGGGAGCACGAAGATATTAATGATAAAGTCCACAAATATGTATATTGGCTGCCTATTTAGGGTACTTAGGAAATGAATCAATGTCTAAGAGAATTTCGTGATGAAAACCTGTTCCAAAAATACGGCTTTTCATAAAGGGTGCATACACCTCAAAACTTTCTAAAGCCTTTGTGATTTTTTTTTTTTTTTTTGTCTTTCAATAAGAAAAATTGTGCAGATCCCGATATCCTCCTTTGGTGGACGTAAGGACAAAATAATGTACATATGAAGGAGTCTACATGGGATTTTAGTAACATGGAAAAAGTGTAGTAAAAACTATTTATTTCAACCTAATTTTACGATATTATTAGGTTGAATAATAATATTATTACCATATTATTGACGAAAAATTTGAAACAACCCAATTCGCTTCGGTCACAGCTAAATAATTTTGAAACGCTTCTATAAATTAAATTGCAAAAAACTAGAGTAAAACACAATCAGCTGATTGAGAGATTTTATATATTTTATATATAGCTGATTTGCTCTCAAAATGTATTATTGTGAATTATATTCACAGTAGGAACGCGAATTTTACGATATTGTTGTCGAAAGAATGGAAGCAGGGTCTATGAAAAAGTTGATCCAGGGATATCATCTGCAAATCACATGTTTTCCAAGTTTGATGTCAAAATTCATTATTGTGAATATACTTCCCATTAAGAAGACGCAATAACGTCCAAATTTTTGATGTTTAACATGAGAAATAAAATTTGTTTTTCGATTGCTACCAAGGCGACCTTGTTAAATAATTTTTTCTTAAATAAAAAATTGCTTTAAAGTATACTATAACACATATCAGCTGATTCTCAAGTTTGTTGTCAAAATAAATTATTGTGAATTAAATTCATAGTATGAAAATAAAAAACAACCAAGTTAGACATCAGTACAATAAATTTCTAGATTAATAAAAATGGTTTTCTTGATTTATTTCGAAAAAGTAGGAAATACATTATTAATCCTTATTATAAATATGGCAGTTGCGATAAAGGCGAGTTTACACACCTACCTTCTCGTTAGGGATCTATAAATGAGAAACAATACACACTATTGTGAATGGAAGTAATTTGATTGTTATTTTTCATTACCTTATGCAGTTATATTTTCATTTTCTTATAAATATAGTTCCATGGAAAATCCTTTAAAATTTTCAATAAAAGAAACAAATCGAGGTGCATGGAAAATCCTTTAAATTTCCGGAAAAAAATCAAACAAAAAAATCGAGCTGCATTTCTATAAAAACTTTATTTTCATTCCACTTTTACAATTCCTTAGCGGTCTTAACAACCCATTCACGTAGACTGGGTACATCAGCATAAACACCGGGATAACCTTCCTTAGCGCAGCCACGACCCCAGGAGACAACACCAACCAATTTACCACCCGAAACCAATGGACCACCAGAATCTCCCTGGCAGGCATCCTTCTTGACGGCATAAGCACACACCATAGTCTCCTTGATTTGTGAACCATATTTGTATTCACTGGAAGCGCAGGCCTTCTCATCGACAATATCAACCTCAACTTCTTGCAAAATCTTTGGTGCGGAAACACACCACATATAGCACTTGGTACCCCAGCCGGTGACAACAGCACGCGTGCTAGTGGCAGGAGTCTTCTCAGCCAAGGGTACATAACGGATCTTTGAAGATTCCTTAACGCTTCTGTCCAACTTCATGACAGCAATGTCATTTACCATAGTCTTGGGATTATAGCCTTCATGATATTTGAATGTTTTGACAGCAACCAATTCGCCACCAGTGTTGTATTCTGTGGAACCTAAACGTATTCTGATCTGGGCGGCAGTATATTTTTGCAGGCAATGGGCAGCTGTTACAATAATATCTTCACTGATGATGGAACCACCACAGAAATGACCACCCGATGTGGTTTGCAGCGACACCTGATAGGGATGTTTTTCAATGGTCGTATCTACACCATTGACAATACGGCCATCGAAATCATCGGGCAGGGTACCGGCGAATGCACAGCTAACCAAGGCAAATATTGTAACGTAGCGGAGCATCTTGCAAAAACTTGACTGATAGTTTCGATAATTTGGCAATGAGTTTATATAGTCGGATTTGGTTTACCGTTTGGCACCTTGTAGGCCTTGAGTTGGTATTTTCCCAACTGTTAAGCATGTTCATGCGATTTCTATTTCAGATAGGGTTTTCCCAAATGTACAAGTTGTTTTTATATTTTAAATAAAAAATAAACCCTATCAGCTATGGATTTTCCTACACCCACTTTAAAAAAATCTTATCGAAAAAAATCAAATTCACCTTCCATTGATAATGCTTAACATTTAGTTATTATCTATAAATTTCGAATAATGACGTATTATCTTAATGCGAATCACCAATATGTTTTTGATTACAGAAAGCGATGGAGTAAAGTTTGATGGACATTATCCCTTCGTGCTGTAGCCTCCTACCTAACGAGGCAAACAGAAGTTGATTTTTGAATACCAAGATGTAACATACGAAATTAAATAATGAGACATCTGTGCAGATGGCCTGCTCATAAAAAAGATATGTCGTTGAATGGTACATATATAGTCAGGACTTACTATAGAATATTGAATTTTTTTTTATATACGACTAATTTTTAAAGTGTGTTTGACATAATTTTTGAAAAATCTCCCCATCTTTTGTAATCAAAATATCAAAAACATATTAGCGATTAGGCGGATCATTTTTCGTATTAAGATATACACAAAACTAAATGTTAATCATTATCAATGGAATAGCCTTCCATGACTTTGATTTTTTTGATATGAATTTTAAAGTGGGTGTGGGAAAATCCATAGCTGATAAGGATTAATATTTATTTTAAAATATAAAAACAAATAGTACATTTGGGAAAATCCTATCTGAAATAGAAATAAAAAAGTGTTCCAGAACATGTTTAACAATTGGGAACAAAACACTTCAAGGCCCCAACCGGCATATGATAGTAAACCAAATCCGACTATATAAACTCATTGGGAAATTGTCGAAACTATCAGTCAAGTTTTGGCAAGATGTTCCGCTACGTTACAATATTCGCTTTGGTTAGCTGTGCCTTCGCCGGTACCCTGCCCGATGAATTCGATGGCCGCATTGTCAATGGTGTAGATACGACCATTGAAAAACATCCCTATCAGGTGTCGCTGCAAACCACATCGGGTGGTCATTTCTGTGGTGGTTCCATCATCAGTGAAGATATTATCGTAACAGCTGCCCATTGCATGCAAAAATATACTGCCGCCCAGATCAAAGTACGTTTGGGTTCCACGGAATACAACACTGGTGGCGAATTGGTTGCTGTCAAAACATTCAAATATCATGAAGGCTATAATCCCAAGACCATGGTAAACGACATTGCTGTCATCAAATTGGACAGAGGCGTTAAGGAATCGTCAAAAATACGTTATGTACCCTTGGCTGAGAAGACTCCTTCCACTGGTACACGTGCTGTTGTCACCGGTTGGGGTACCAAGTGCTATATGTGGTGTGTTTCGGCACCAAAGGTATTGCAAGAAGTTGAGGTTGATATTGTCGATGAGAAGGCCTGCGCTTCCAGTGAATATAAATATGGTTCGGAAATCAAGGAAACTATGGTGTGTGCTTATGCCGTCAAGAAGGATGCCTGCCAGGGTGATTCTGGTGGTCCATTGGTATCGGGTGGTAAATTGGTTGGTGTTGTCTCTTGGGGTCGTGGCTGCGCTAAGGAAGGTTATCCCGGTGTTTATGCTGATGTACCCAGTCTACGTGAATGGGTTGTTAAGACCGCTAAGGATTTGTAAACATGGAATGGAAATAAAATTTTTATAGAATGCATTTCGATTTTTTTTTTATTTTTTTGGAAATTTTAAAGAATTTTCCATGCACCACGATTTGTTTTTTATAGGAAATTGTAAAGGATTTTCCATGGGTAATGGAATGGAGGTAATCAAAAATAACAAACAAATTACTTCTACTTCGCAATAGTGTGTATTGTTCCTCAGTTATAGATGCCTAACAAGAAGGTGGGTGTGTAAACTCGCCTTTATCGCAACTGTCATATTTGTCTTAGGAATTAATAATGTATTCGCTAATTTTTTCGAAATAATTTAATATATATATATAATATTTATTACCCTAGAAAATTATTGCTGATATCTAACATGATTATTTTCATTTTCACAGTGCGAATTTAATTCACAATAATGTATTTTGACAAGAAACATGGGAATCAGCTGATATGTATTATATCAAACCCAATCAGCTGATTGTGTACTTTCAAACAATTTTATATGAGCGTACAAATATTTAACTCATTGACTCAAGGTCTATTAGTATGCTGACTCTGGTAGCAATTGAAATAACAGCCAAAAATTTTGACGTTA